CCCCAAAACCCCAAAACCCCAAAACCCCATAAAGTTCTATTATAGACTAGTAGAAAATAAAACTTAAAAGTCTAATTCCAAGATCAAAGTTAAATTATTTTTGTATACTCGCTAGTATGTGGACCTTAGACTCATTTAAAATTTCAAACCCCCACTTATAAAAAAATCTGTAGAAAAAGCTCCCGCAATAGTTAAACTCAATTAAAGTTGAAAACCTAGGCTCTAAATCTACTACTGACTCGAACTCTCCGAAACCCGTAAACGAAGAATCACCTGAACAACTATCTGAGAATAAGCTTGCTGAAGATTTTGAAATACAATAGTAAATTGAGGAGCTAGACCTTGAAAATTAGTCTAATAGTGACTCAAATCTGAATGATTTGCCAGATGGTCATATTCAAATCGCATTAAATATTGAAGAGCCAAGCATTTCAAGTAGGAATAACTTGCAAGAGCAAAGAAGAATAAATGAACGCAACTACATTGTCATGACTGAAGAGGAAAAAGCTATAGAAGTAATAAGAAGCATAATCAATGTACTAATTGATATTGCAGGTGTAAACAATAATTTGAAGTTACAATTTAATAGGTAGTGATTGCTGTTTATGCATTGATGCTTTACTCTAGATTAGAAATGGAAGTAAAAGAGTATGAGTAAAGAATTTGGTTTATTGCATCTGCAGTAATATCAGCAATATCAGTAGGAACTACTATTCATTATATCGTAAGACTACTGCAAGATAAATTTACTCACAAAATAAAGAACATTAATTTGCTTCTTGAATCGTAAGTACATTATAGATTCTAATAAATTTAGAGTAATAATGGTCATTTGTGTTATTGGTTCAATTATTCTCTCATTAAGAGGCTCTACTCTTTAAAAATAAATTCAAATGGCATCCCTCATCAGTTTGATATTACTTGGGATTAGATCTCTCAAAGTTTTGCTTTTGATATTCTTGAAAGTAACTTGGTCTCCACTAATTTGGTTTGTCAATAAATTTGATTCTAAAGGCTCTAAGAAACAAGCAGACCAGGTACTAATAATTTTCAATTAATAAATTAAATGTAGAAACTGATAGAAAATCTTGTTAAAATCGACTTTATAAAGTTCAAATAGGCTATTGAAGAAAAGATATCAGAGCCTATGGAAATTGAAAGACCTAATTAATAAGATATAGAAATAGATATGAGTTGTCCAATTTGTCTAAATGACTTTAATGAGCAATCAGTAATCACACCTTTACCATGCTAGTCGCACTTTTATCATCATTAGTGCATTGCAAGCTGGCTTAAGAAAAATTGCGTTTGCCCTATATGTAGATTTCAAATTACTAAGCAAAACCTCAAGTAATCTTAGAAAATCAGTAAATGAAAATGTAGTAATCCCTTATAAATATTAATTAACTTAACTTAAATAATTAATAGAACATTAAATTGATACAACCTATTTAGAATTTTATATTATGCCGTGTGGGGTTTTGGGGTTTTGGGGTTTTGGGG